TTCTCAAATTGTCTCCCTCTCACTCAATCAAACAGTTGGGGATATTGGGCTCTGAAGTCTGATTCTACCTCCCATGTGGCCTCTTCTGGTGTGTGATTCTGGACCTTAACAAAGAGAATTTTTCGATTGCGGAGTACTCTACTCTTTCGGTTTACAATACCGACCGGTACTTGCTCGTAGGACAAATCCTCCTGAAGCAAAATGGGCTCGTGGGCTAGGACGTGAAAGGGGTCTGGGTTGTACTTGCATATCATGGACACATGAAATACATTATGGACTCTGGATAGTTCTGGAGGTAGTACCAGTCTGTAGGCGGTGGTGCCAATTTTGTCTAAGATTTTAAATAGTCCAATGAACCGAGAATTTAGTTTTCTCCTCTTGCCAAACCTACTGATTCATTTGAAAGAAGTGACCTTAAGGAACACCTGATCACTTTTCTCAAATTCCAGATCCCTCCTCCGGGTATCCGCATAACTCTTCTGCCTGCTCTGAGCCGTCTGAATGTTCTTTCTGATCTTAACTATTTTGGCTGTAATATCCTCCATAAGATTTGGGCCGAACAATTTTCTATCACCAACTTCTTCCCAACAGATCAACGATCTGCATGGACAGCCATACAACGTCTCATACGGAGCTATGCCAATGCTTTCTTAGTAGCTGTTATTGTAAGCGAACTCTATTAAGGATAAATGATCATCCCAATAGCCCCCGAAGTCAAGAACACAAGCTCGGAGCATATCCTCTAGTATGCGGATCGTCCTTTTTGATTGTCCATCGGTCTGAGGGTGGAATGCAGTACTAAGGGACAGTTTCGTCCCCATGGCTTGCTGAAAACAAGACCTGAACCGAGAAGTGAACCTAGAATCCCTGTCGAACACCACTATCACTGGTGCTCCATGTAACCTGACAATCTCCCAGATATACATTTTTGCTACCTTGTCCAAGGGGTCGGTCATCCTGATGGCTAGGAAGTGGGATGACTTGGTGAGCCGGTCAACAATTACCCAGATGACATCATGTCCTGAGCGTGCCCTAGGCAATTATGTCATGAAATTCATTGTGATTTGTTCTCACTTTTACTCCGAAATTAGTAACGGCTGAAGGAGCCTGCCTAGATGTTGATGTTTTACCTTGACGTGTTGACATACCAAACATTTGGAAATAAAGTCGGCCACATCTCTTTTCATCCCATTCTACCAAAATTGGGGTCACATACTTCGATACATCTTAGTGCTTCCGGGATGCATGACAAACTTTGAGTTATAGACCTCTATTATGATGTCATTTTTCAACTTACTGACACCTGACACACACACACCTTATCCTAAAATCTAAGCAGCCCATCAGCAGAGACTCGAAATTCTAAATTAACTCGCTGTTCTACATCTTTCTTAAGAGCTGCTAAAGTGGAATCGGCGGATTGAGCTTCCTTTATTCTTTGGATCAACTCAAGGTTAACAGTTAGGTGGGCCAAACATGTGACTATCTTCAGGTGCTGAAGTCGTACCTGTTGTGCGGCTCCTATTACCCTGCATTCTGAAACCATCAAGTGAGTTAATATACTTGTACTTTTTCTGCTGAGTGCGTCGGCTACCACGTTGTCCTTACCCGAGTGATACAAGATGTTGCAATCATAGTTCTTGAGGAGTTATATCCATCTTCTTTGACGCATGTTGAGATCTTTTGGAATGAATATATGTTTTAATCTCTTATGGTCAGTGTAGATATGAAAGGTCTTCCCATACAAGTAATGGCGCCAAGTCTTCAAGGTGTGGGTAATTGCAGTAAGTTCTAAGTCATGGGTGAGATAGTTTTTCTCATAACTTTTCAATTGCCTGGACCCATAGGCTATGACATTCCTATGTTGCATCAGAACATAACCCAACCCTAGGTAGGAGGTATCACTATAAACTCTATATCCACTCAATTCACTCGACAAGATCAACACAAGTGCAGTAGTTAACCATTTATTTAGTTTTGAAAACCTTCTTTCATAGTTCTCGTTCTACTCAAACTTGACGTTCTTCTTTGTGAGCCGAGTAAAAGGAGTAACTAGGCTAGAAAATCCTTCCACAAACCTGTGGTAATAACCTACCATCTGACCGAGGTCAATTTCTCCCAGCCGAGCACTGCTTTAACTTTTTCGGAGTTCACTGACACTCCATCATTTAATATGATGTGCTCTAGGAAGGTAGTTTACTCGAGCCAGAATCCATACTTGCTCAGCTTTGCATACAACTTCTTTTCTCTGATAACCTGCAACACCTGAATCAGATGGTGAGTGTGTTCCTCTCTGCTTTTTGAATAAATCAAGATATCATCGATAAATACAATGACAAACTGATCCAGAAATTGTCTGAAAATATTGTTCATCAAATCCATGAAGATGGCTGGTGCGTTGGTTAGTCTAAATGGCATGACTAGGAACTCATAGT